TAGACCGGCGCTTTTCACTTCCGACTCGCTGAACACGGCCTTTTGCTCCGACAACATTGCAAGTGCGAAGCGGGAGACCTCGTACAGCAACTCCATCTCCCGTGCATCCGTCCTGGCAAACGACTTGTGCAATTTGCCTGCATTCCGCTCCAAGACACGTAGAAGTAGCGACTCGTACAATGCTGTGCTCGATTTCGCCAAGCCACGTCCGCTGTGGTACAGCTCACATGCCAGAGCAGCAAATAATGGAGTTCCCATCAATGCTAGCATGTCCGGCTGTGCATGCAGCTTCTCCAGCATCTCCTCCGCTTGTTTTCCGCCCACCACTTTTCTCACGTACGTCTTCACGTTCTCTTGTGAGAATCCGATAACCTCCAGTTGTTGATGGTACTTTCCACATTGGCTTAACTTGTACGCATCGGCGCATGGTCGAGATGTGACCACCACATGCATATCAACACTGCGTTCCCTCAACAGCATGTCTTGCATGTACGGGCTACATTTCTCCAGGCTGCATTCGTCCATGCCGTCAAGCACAACACAGAGACGTGACGGATGACGGCGAAAGTAGCGAGCTATCTCCTCCAGCTCATCTTGTTCCATGTCCAACCTGTCGAATCGAGCAGCCAGCAACTCACACAGGCTAGTTGCAGATCGCACCTCAGCACGTCGTAACTCAACGGCCAAGACAAGATCAATCTTCTCCTTCAACAGCGAATCTATAGCCCACAGGTATTCCAGCATGAGAAGGAAGATTGTAGATTTGCCACTGCCCGCACTGCCAAACGCAAGCACGTTATTCTTTTTCACTCCAATGGACACGTTGCTAGCGGCACGAGACAGAAGTCCACATTCGGAATCAACTACTCCGCTGGCACTTGCTTGGTCCTTTGCACTATCGCTACCTGTGTCAGAGAAGATCTCGCTAAGCTCAATCCCACGTGTCTTTTCGGACTTTCCATCCTGAGCTGCTCTGATAGCATTTAGCTGGCGTGCTCTCTCAGTTTCGGAGGAAAAGAACGACTCGCTCTTGAAAAGTGTTTCTACTTCATCCTTCGTCAGCAGAGTAAGATTGACAAAGAGCTCGCTCAAAGCTATTTCCCTATCTGTTCCTAACCCCCCGCTGATCTGCACACCACGATCCTTGACTGCATCACGCAATCGTGTCTGCGCCTTCAGGAGAGACGCTGGGAATTTGTGATCCTCCGCCATCGTCAGTCCTCAAGGGATTCTGAGTATCGATCGTGTCTTCATCATCTACATAATAATTACAAAAAGAAATCACAATCACTGATCAACTCTTTTTTAAAGTTTTTTTGCACCGAAGCAGAGCGCTCGAGCCATCTGTAATCTGTAATTACTTTTTTACTTGATCAAGTGCCAGAAAGTGAAATCGCGTCCCCCCCCCCCCCCCCCCCGGCCTGTCGAAGAGGGTTTTTCGGCGTGGCTGGGTTGGCACTTGGCACCAGGGAGTAGTACAATACCGGGAGGTGACACGGGCACACATCCGGGATTACGAGCTTTGCCTCACAAAAAAAATACAAACCGCGCGAAAATTCAAATTTTTGCTCTTTTGACAGCGCTGAGAAACCTTCGAATAGTGACGAGAAGACCAGACGTATCCCTTCGTGACAAGCTGCTACTTGTTCTTTTCAGCTCGAGCCTTTTTTGGGAGCTACTCTGGTACATCGTCCACACTGCTGCCAAGTCTCGACTTCCCAAAATGGATGGAAGTGACGAATATGGAGGACGCTATCCTAGGTAAGTAACGTGATGGAATTTTCTCATCTTGACATGGTGTAACACGAACCTGAATTTCTCATTTGGACCCACTCGGACACCTCACCAAGTTGGGATATTTCGAAACTATACCTATTTGTCTACCATTCTACTTCATCTCAACGTGTTAGCTAATGTAACTCTTTGGAAAACTCATTCCGAAAATTTTGAAACTTATTTATTTGTATAGACTTGAACATAATGTTCAAGATCACTTGTTTTCAGCACTGAATGAGGCCAGGCCTGCTTGCTTTGTTGCTTTTTTAACCCCCAGAACCCGTGGACAGAAGAGGAAGAGCGACGACTTGGGTGCGGCAGCGAAGTCTGCCTGCCCAACGCCAATTGCTCCTCACCCAAAAAGTAAACAAATTATATAGCAGGAGTGGTCTCAAGTGGTTTCAATGCATTGTGTTTTTGGGATGTTGGTGTGTACTTATGCAGTCCTAGCGTGTTGAGCAATAGCAATCGTGAGAAGGGTATAATTCTGCAATACAACATTGTTGATTATAAATATGACACTGAAGCAATACTGAAACTACGTTTTGGGGTTGTATTTGTTTTCATGCGTGTTCTACAGCGCACCCCATTGACGAAGATCATCCTTGTATAGACGATGATAAATACTCTCATCTGACAAGGTTAGTTGCACAGTTCTCCCATATTTGTAAGGTGGACGTCGGATATAACATGGCTTATCTCTTTTTGGTATGCCATCTACTGCACAGAACACGTCATCAGAAGTCACTGCCTGCTGCGAATAACAGCGCATCGTGTATGAGAATCTCTTCACCAACAAGTAGACACAAATATACACCCACACACCTACACACACCCTCGTGTACTTGTACACCACACACGCGCGCGCACGTGCGCATACATACAACTATTCATCTTTATCCTTTTGTGTTTGACATGATTCCACGGTGCCATGAAAGTAACATCTTTACTTATAAAGAAGAGGCACCTGTGACGTGTGTGTGTGTGTGTGTGTGTGTGTGTGTGTGTGTGTGTGTGTGTGTGTGTGTGTGTTACGCTCAGGCCATCCTGCGGAGCAGCGCTGCCTTGAGCACGCGAAGCGTGCGAACAGTGTAGCTAGCGGCCGCAGAAGCACTGAGCACGCGAAGCGTGCGAATCGTGTAGCTAGCGGAAGCAGCCACAGAAGCACTGAGCACGCGAAGCGTGCGAATCGTGTAGCCACCACCACGTGCTGAGCACGCGAAGCGTGCGAACAGTGTAGGTAGCAGACACGATCAGTACGAGTAGCAGTAGCAGCCGCGCGCAGAAGCACTGAGCACGCGAAGCGTGCGAATCATGTAGCCACCTAGCCTAGGCCATAGGTAGCACTAGCAGCCGCACAAGCGCTGCGGACCACGTGAACCGTTCTCTGCAAATAGAAACATCTGCAACAAAAGGATACAAAAGATCTGCACTGACTGCACTCTGCATCTGATCTGCAGTGAAGAGCGCATCGCACTTTTGTTCGTAAGTTTATGAATTTTTTGAGCCGCTTCATCCGCCACCAGGTGATGGACAACCCTGACCAGCCTCCCGAAGGCGTAACAGACGTCCCTCCTTCTCCTTCCAACGATGAAGAACCTCCCTCACCAGGACTTCAGCGGTCTGGCCACCACCACGTGCTGAGCACGTGTGCTGTTCATGTACTTGCTTCACCGGTGCACCCGCATGCCACATTCGGCCAGGCAACGCTGGCCGGGGGTGCTGCTAGTTGGTTATAATCAAGGAGTAATGGTATTGTACGATTCTGATTGCGTATGCTCTTGGTGGCCATATATAGCAGGGAGTAGTACAATACCGGTATTGTACTACTCCCTGATATCTAGTTCATCGTCACGCAGCTCCCCACAAAGTACAAATTGTAGTAAAAGCAATTACGTACTAATATGTATAGTAATATGCAGACACATACAACTAGTAGTCACACAAAGTATCTATAATAAGCACACGTACTAGGAATAGTACGTAAGCAGGCTATCTTTATCCTTTTGCGCTTGGTCTGATTACCTGCATACATGACTTACACGGCATGGTCACTTGCACCAGTAACATTGTACATAATTCCACACTGCCTTATCATCAACACCAGTTCCTGTTAACGCGTAACATCTCAGGCTTTGTAGCAGGGAGTAGCACAGTGCCATTGTACCATTGTGCTACTCCCTGCTTGACACAGACTTGCGTCATAGTGACATTTGCGAATAGCTGCCCCTGCAGTATAAAATTTATTAATTTTTATTTTGTGTTTCTCTCTGACGACTATAGCATCTGGATTCGGAATAGCCTTACTATCTTGAGACGGGTCAGCCATACCTGAAACATGTTGTTCATTGTGACTAAAACTTGACTCAACATTATCTATTCCCCTAGAAACGACGTGAATAACTAAATGTAATACAAATTAAATTAGGAAGAAAATTTCACTCTTACAAGCCGCCCACGTAAATACTGGACACACTGAAGGTACCCGTGCGAAGGCCAGCTGCTACTTGATATCCTTCGTAGGATTCATCCTCATCACTCAGCAAAGACTGATGGATTCGTTCCCTACATCGTCAAAACAAACTTCAAAAAGTACTGCTCGAAAACTTCTTGAGAGCATTCTGCCACTCTCTTCAAGTCGTTCTATGAATTTTTTGAAAAATGCTACGAAATGCTACGATAAATGGTACGCGAAGTACGACAGTTCGTGACGTTTCCCGGGACACAGCGCTCCACAGAAAAGTGACCTGAGGCAAAGCTCGCCCGCCTGAATGTGTGGCCGTGTCACCTCCCGGTATTGTACTACTCCCTGCTTGGCACCGTACTACTACTGTACTAGAATGACTGTTTAGTTGGGACATTCTTCCAAAACATGACGTCACAGAATTCGTAAAAAAAGACAACTTTTGTCGCAAGCGGCTAGCCTGTCGCGCGCGCGAGACTCATCATGGGCGCGCTGGAGATCCGGAGCTGCAGCAAATGCGAAGCGCGACACACGAGCGCGACCCAAACTGTGTCACGTGTGTGTCGAATCTGACCGTCGATTATTTACTCGACAATTCCAAAAATCAGTGCCATTCATTGGCTTTAGCTTTGCCCTTGAACTTGAAATCTCGTGCCTTATTCTTTCCTGGGGACTGGTGTTGGATATTGAACGGGCGGAGTTACCGCCGGGATGATGGATGAAGGAGATGATGGCCTAAACTTGGCTGCGCGCATTCTCATTTTCGCGTGGCCTGCCACTAGTGTTTCGCAGATTCACAAAGGGTGTCACAGGCATAGCTGGAGGAAGAAAGGTGAGAGAATCGGTTGCACAGTGCAGATCAACCCAACCATTTGGTTGTTTTAATTTTACTTCGCACAGTCAAACGGGATGACCACCCAATAAAATTTCCGAACGTGACATTTTTCTAATTTATTGATTTTCCCGCATTACTAGTATACCACAGTTTGTTGTTCACGTTATTTCGCTTCAACTTTTGAGGTATGAATTCCTTAACTGCAGACTCGACATGCAAGCTCCATACTGACCAGGCTGTGTCAACATCAGGTCACGGCTTGTTTGACTTTGTCCGTTAGGCCGTGTTTGCATAGATATTGTGATGGCGTCAAAGACAGTTAAAGATTGTGTTGGTGGTGTGTCGGGGGTATGGTCCCCGCCGAAACTGAATGCAAGTTTAAGAAAGACTAGGTCTAGTGAGTTATGATCAGAAGTGTCCTGTGGGTCTAGCCCTCAGCCCCTCTGCGGCAAGCAGTAAACTATATTTACAGCAAAAAGCGCAAAACAAGACTTGATTTTTTACGCGGCTCTTTTCACCGTGATAATTATTGTACACGTGTTATGAAAATTTGAAATACTCATGGCAACTGGTGGGTGAATCATTCAAAAATGCAAACGTGCCCGCTGTTGAGTGCAGCCATGTGAATCCACACAGTCACTTTTTCTCGTAAATCACTCGCCGTAAAACGTGCAAGTGGCTGTCGTGTGAATCGCCTATAACCGACTGTCCACAGTTGTCGAAGTATTTTCCAGCACTCACTGTACTTTATTAGAGAGGTTGCGCATAACGTAATTACGTTAGTTAAAAAAATGTAGTCGATCTACGGAAAGTCTTACGTAAACTGCATGCGCATCTGGGTTCCGCCATACGGAGTTTTCAAATCATAGCAGACTCAGCGGAGGACGTTCAGGTTGGTTGTTACTCTTGAGTTTCGTGCCGTTAGGCAATCATCAGACAACTGATACTCGGGTCTACCTAACAGTGAGTCAGTATGCTTATAAATACATAGGGCCACAAGCATAAACAAATTTAGCGCTAAATCTGGTGTAAGGTATGTGTCGCATGATGGATGTTACCAAAACTCGAACCACTGCATGCCACCCTCAAAGTGATGGCATGGTGGAAAGATTCAACCGCACACTCGAAGCCATGATTGCCACATCTATCTCCGACCACCGCGACTGGGACCTCCACCTCCAACATACAGCGTTAGCTTATCGCACCAGTGTTCATGCATCAACAGGTTACACTCCGTTCCTCATCCAATTCGGACATGAAGCTGTTCTCCCACTCGACTTGGTCTATGGTCGACCCCGTGATGCTCCACCGTCCTCCTATCATGAGTATGTTCAGTCCCGACACACCATTACCACGAATGCTTTTACGCGTGCTCGTCAACATGGAATCACTGCCCACCGCCTGCAGAAGAAACAGTATGATGGTACGTCTCGCCCTTCACCCAGGTTTCAGAAATCCGACCTAGTGCTTCTCCACTCCCCTGTTGTCCCCACGCATTCGTCACCGAAGTTCCACAAGTTCTGGACTGGTCCGTACATCATTACAAGTGTGATTGATGAAGTGACAGTACGTATTCGGAAACAAGATACCGCCTCTCGCACTGCTATTGTGGTCCACGTCAACCGACTAAAACCATATGTTCAACTACGAGCACCGCCTCCGTCTCCCGTATCCTATGATGCTGATGTCCACATTGATCCCGCTGTTGTCCCTCCACCAGCTGCTCCTCCTCCTCCTATTGCTCAAGCCCATCCGTACAACCTACGAAATCGCCTCCATATTCAGCCGCCTAACCGATACTAAGTATACATCACGAGGACGTGATGAAAAATAGGTAGGGAGGGTGTAGTATCCCTGGCCCTACTTATAACCAACTCTTGTCCCACCGGTTACTCCTAAGTGCTTCTCCCAGCAACCACTTTAATACTTTAAAGTAGGACTACTAGACAACCCTGCCTGCAGACCGGTACGGCATGACCTGTATACATGTTGCACACATTCATGCTGTACTACATTACATTGATTCCTATAGCCCGTTCCTCATCACTAACTCTTTTGATTACTAGTTCTAAGATATCTTCCGCTTCTCTTCTTCTGCCAGATGTCTTCCCAGAATCCATGTCCTAGCTCGCACACAGTCAAATGGCTTTTCCAACCGCTGTCCTCTTAGTAACCTTCACGCCCAATTACCCTGCCTGCCATTCACATTAGTTTCCTTCATACTGTTAGATTGCATTCCTGTTACCTAATGGTTGCTCGCTACTTAGGTCCATTCTTCCTCCTACCTATTCCTTTCACGTTATCTCCTTGTACGTCTTCTCCTTGCACTACTATTTCTCCCCTTGCCATGTATATGCTGTCTATGCTATATAAGCCCTATCTGCTCTACCAGAGATAGAATTCGCTCATAGCAGAGAAGAGAGTCCCTCCTGGCAGATTGAGCCGGAGCAGTTATATTCCGTTCAGAGTCCCTCCAGGCAGATTGAGCCGGAGCAGTTGTAAACATAACTTCAGGCAGATTGAGCCGAAGAACATAATATTAGTCAGTCTTCTTGTGTGCCTCCTGATACCACTCGGCGACCTATTACACTAGTGTCAGCCTGAGTGCGTGCAGGATGCTAGTAGTTTATTTACACGGTCAAGTAGTTTTATATGTACTCAAGTCGGGACGTCAGTGCGTGCAGGATGCTAGTACTAGTAGTAGTAGTTTATTTACACGGTCAGGTAGTTTTATATGTACCCAAGTCGGGACTTGCACGTGCGCCGCGCGAGTCATCCATGCATGGTGATTTATTTTTTTTGAATTCATAATTTTTGCTGAGGCCATTTGAAATTTCCTTGAGTTGCGTTAGTTGTGGCCAGGCGCTACTAGGCCAGTGTTGCTGTCTGGGTGTGGTGCTTCTTCAAAGTATCTTTGGCTCACGTAGGGTAGTCATGGCGTGTGCCACGTGGGTCTGCTCTCATGATGCGTTTTCTGGTCGTTCCCGGATCGTCCTGTGCCTCTCATTTCAAGTATCGTAGTTATCGTTGCAGTTAGAGGATTTTAGGTTTGGGCCTCGTAGCTTTGGCAGAGGTTGTTTGGCTACCCTCCGCCTTCTCATCTTCAGTTGGAGCAGGTATGGATGTTTCTTAGTATACTTCAAATCCACTAGGCATGCAGTTGGTCTTGGACGGCTCGTCAATGGAATTTTCAAATTTCAGATTTCGCGTCACTGGCTTTATTATTTTCTGCCTGCTGTTACACCAATCTAATCATGAGGGACACACAGTTAGTGGATATGACTGATGGGTATGTTGGGGTGAGAGTTAGGGTTATGGTTAGTGTGGGGGCCAGGGTTAGGGTGACTCACTACATCTATTGATTGTTAATTGTGGTGTATGGGGGGATTAATAATAATAATAACTCGGATTAGTGTTAATTTTAGTGTGTGCTCAACAGATTAGTCATTGAGGGGGGGGGGGGACTGTTTAGTAATTTGTGAGCGGTGTACAGGTTATGGTTAGGGTTATGGCTAGGGCCAGGGTAACTCACTTGGACCACTGGTTATTAATAAGGTGCGTCGGGGGATTAGTATTTGGCATGTGTCCGCAGATTAGTCATTGTTGGGGGCATACTGTTTAGTAATTTATCAGCGGTATACAGGTTATGGTTAGGGTTGGGGCCAGGGTAACTCACTATGTCCATTGGTTATTAACCCTTTCAGTGCCAAGGACGAGATAACTCGTCCTACAGACAGACCCCCACGCGATTGGCCAAGGACGAGATATCTCGTCCTCGTACTAGTCGTAGTGCGTACGTTACATTGCAGTGCATAGACAAGTGTACAAACTATCGTAACCCTGTGAAACATAAACGCATCGCGACAATCAATACACCGTTGGAAAGGTCTTGAGCTCATCTTCCCGTGGATATAACGTTCGTCGCGATGGGATAAAGAATCACTGAGCGGCGACAGGATGAACACCAAAATCACGGGCCGGAGCGAACACGAATGTTTTTGTTCATGACTTCGCAGTTTTTTGGTGCGTGCTAGGGGATTTCCCTTTGGCACGACGCATGCGTGGTGGACATCAAATGAAGCGCTTGGATCTCAGCTTTGCAGCGCAGTTCGAATCGTGAAAATCGGTTGAATTTGGGCAAGATGCCGAACAAGAACGTGAGACTGAGTTGTTGTGCCGTTCCGAGGCACGGTGGAGTAGTTCGGAGAGGAGGTGGAAGTGGCCCTGGTGTGTCTATGTTGCTGAGATCTACCATGATGGATTCGCTTGGTCCTGATCTTTCCAACGAGCCCAGGATGATGAAAATCCATCATGGTGGAGTGAAATGAGAATAAATTCCATTCAGAGCTGTGCGCGCAAACTACACCAAGAGAGTCGGTGCACTGGACAGCCGGCCGATTGGAGAAAAGGGGCCCGGCATGGAAAGGGTTAATTAAGGTGGGTAGGGGATTTATAATTTTAGTGTAGTAGGGATTAACTTGTGCCGACTGAAGTGTTGTTTCTGTTTTGTTACCTTTATTTTTGTTTTGTCATTTTCTTTATTGTTTTTGGGTACTTTGTTTGCTTCAGTTTTTCTTTACTCTTGTTATTTATTTATTGGTTCCCTTTGTCTGTCATCTTTGGTTGTGCTTTAGCGTCAGGTGGTTTGATCTCAGAGCGAGAGAAGGGCTGGTCGACGATCGTTCTAGTGTTCCTCTAGGGCCGGAGCAACGTCGTGTGCTGGCGTTCGGCCTTGGGTAAGCGGAGGTGTTCTCTTGTAAGGTGTCTTCCCACTTCGTAGTTATCGAACAGGCGATTGTCTTCCTTGTTTACTTTGTTGCTTTACCTACGTACCTACGTTGGTGCGTTGCCTTTATCCGTCTCCGTTGACTGCTATTCTCCTCCGGTGGGCTGGCTTTTCCACGCGTTTACACGGACTATCTACTCTCGTTTTTTTGTTTTGTTTTTGTCCTCTTTGGTAGTTATGTGCCATGGGGGCCTTATGATCGAGCCAGCGACTTTATTGGGGCTGGAGTCTTCATGGCTGGTACGTTCAGTGTTGTGTTCTTCAGATCATGCGTTTGGATTATTCTATGTGCTGGGTTATGGGTTGCGATTTTAACTTATTTATCTTCCTGTGGGTTGGATGCTGCGGTGGCAACGTGTCTGCTTCCCTGTTAGTTAACTTCTTACGGCAATGCGTGGTGTGGTGTGTGTGTGGTTCAAGCTGTTCTGCCTTGTGTTGCTGGGTGGTGCGATACCGTTGTGGGGTTAATTTCGTTCTTCAATCCCAGTATGCTATGTTGTGTGGTGGGTGTTTGGGTTATGTGGTTTTCTTCACATTCTTCTACATGGTGAAATGCTGTCTACCTTTCTTCTTGTTGGTTCTCACCGAGTCGTTGTTTCTTCGACCGTCAGTGCGTTGTGCCACTGTGGTATCCTTCCGTGGCAATGGCCTGGGTGCTTTTCTCATTTGGGGCCTGCTTCTTCGTAGCTGGTACGTACATGGTTGTGTTCCTCCTCCTGCCGTCTGTTCGTGTTGTTGTTGTGTGTGTTTGCTTACTACTATGGGGTATGTTGGGCAGATAGTTGTCTAAGGTTTAGGCCTGTTAGTGGTGTCAGCTAGTTTGTTGTTCAGTACAGAATTTGCTATTTCAGTAGAGTCCTTATTCCCCCAACTTACTCCCTTGGCTATAGTGTAGGAAATCGTTGTCTTTTTTCTTGGCAGTTGGTCTTTCTACTGGTCAGTACTGTCGGTTAGTTAGAGTCCTTGTTGGCGGGTGGTTGTTTCCCGCTCTTTTCTATGCACGCATGCGTTCTGTGTTTATAGCTAGAACAGTGTAGCGTGCAGCTGTCTGGTTCTGTGTTTATAGCTAGAACAGTGTAGCGTGCAGCTGTCTGGTTCTGTGTTTATAGCTAGAACAGTGTAGCGTGCAGCTGTCTGGTTCTGTGTTTATAGCTAGAACAGTGTAGCGTGCAGCTGTCTGGTTCTGTGACTGTGTGCCCTACTGTTGTCGTGACGTGGTCAAATTTGTGTAGTGTAAACGCATACTGTCGGGCTGTCTGTACTGGTTGTACTAGTTGTGTGTGTGTGTGGGTAACAGTCAGTGCACGTGTGGGTAACAGTCAGTGCGCACGTGCCGTGTCACTTGATTACTGGTAGTTATTTTTAGGTGGCGTGCCCTGGCGTCTTATTTTGTACTCAGTTCAAGTCGCGTTCTACTGCTAGTAGTCATGGTAGTAGTACTAGTCTGTTTATTTATTTATTTTTGCCTCGGTTCTGTTATTTTTCAGTGTTCTTTAGTTTTGGTGCAGGGTCTAAGTTTTTTCTTGAGTAGTCTTTAGCTGTGCTAGTCCAGTGTGGCAGTCGGTCTAGCGGTCTGTTCTCTAGTTGTTACTTGTTCGCGCTGCGCCGCTCAGTTCTGGTAGTCTAGTTGCTGTCGCAGTAGGCGAGTTGAGGTTGGATCTCGTAGCTGTCACTTGTCTATCTACTCGTCTCTACGGTGTTTTCTCCAGTTGGAACAAGTATTGGCTTGTTTTCTTTCTACCTTCACCCACAGGCCGTGTTCCTAGTTAGTGAGGACTGGACACCCTAAGTCGGGTTGATGCCGGCTCCGGCTCCTCAAGGCCCCCTCCCCTTGCCAATCCCGTTGGGAACGGGGGTATATACACGTAAATCCTAGGTATTTCTACGTCTCTAGGGTCCGTTGTGGGGTCACCCATCTGTTTTCTAATTTGTATTATTGTGTGTTTTGCTCTGCATTGACTACAGATTTCTTCAACGTTGCTGAGGGCTCTATGGCTGCCCTCCCGTTCTCGCGCGTCGGACGTCGTCGTTGCGTAGTGCTGTATTGTCCATCTACATTAGTGGCTGCAGGGCCGCCATCTTTCTCTGATTCAGGATTATAATAGTCTGGTAGGTTTATTGCTGTGCAGTATAGTTTGTTTAGTTCTATTCTCGACGTATTATACGGTGTGGAGTCGTGTTCCTTGTCCTATCCTCGACTCATTGTTGTTTATGTCGTCTATTGTGGTAGACTGTCGGCGGCACACTATGTGCCAGTTTGTCGTAGTAATTCCTTCCACACCCCTCCTCCTCTTTCATCTCTTGTTTCATCTCTTGTTTCATCCCTTGTTTCATCCCTTGTTTCATCCCTTGTTCTTCTTTTTTGAGGTCCACTGGTCCACTGGTCTACTGGTCTACTGGTACTCACTCCCAGTCCCAGTGGACTTACTGTTTCTGTCTTTTGAATTTTATATCGGTCTAATCAAAGAATAGGCTGCGCCAAGTTTTTGTTCTCTAAATAGTGCTCCACAGAAGTGTGCCAATAGTCAATTCATCTATTTTTGTAATATCAACAATAAGATCATAATGACTGGGTGGACCCAACTCCCCCCCCCCCCCCGGCGGACAGACACAGAGCGGCAAGGTGTGCGGTAATGAGTTTGCGACTGAGGGGTGCAAGCTGCATGTTGGATGGGTGCGGTATGTGCGAGCTAGGGTAGTATGAGTGTGCGGGTGGGTCAATGCGGCCACCCCGAAGTGGATGCGGTGTTATGGGATCTTGTTCCCACTTTGTGTTTGTGGGTGTTGCATGTGTGTGTGTGTGTGTGTGCGTGCGTGCGTGCGTGCGTGTGTGTGTTTAGGCCATCATTTTTTATATCTATGTTTCGCGTCAGTTCAACTTCCAGAATCATAATATATGATTCCACCAATATGCGAGAGGTGGAAAAAATAAAAAGTTGCAAAATAGTAAAAGGCTCATCAGAGGTGTATAGAACTGTACATAGCACAATACTCAATAGCTCGTGCATGGTGTACATTCGAAAGAAAACTCGTACATCCAAGCACAAAATCTACATCACTTTGGACAGAGGAGGCAACCGTTGGTGCCCTTGCTTCGCTGGATTATTGTACTCAGCCTTCAGCAGCGGTGCAAAGAGCTCCGGAACGACGCATCCTCACAGCTTGAGGCGATCGATGCAGTCTGTTGTAAGCTCATAGAATACTGCTCGCAGATGCCGTATAAACGATTTACCAACGCTGGCCTCGAGGCCATTTCTGAATCCCAGTTTCGCCGGATGCAACCAGTCGACACCGATGACTCGCACGATCGTACACTAAACTGTGCACGATTGATTTTTTTCCGAAAAAAATCAAAACGTATGCGTCCAGACGACGCGAAACATAGATATAAAAAATGATGGCCTTATGCGTCAATGTTAGATTTTGTTGTTATGCAAAGTGTGCGTGCGGGTGGTTCACTATTGGTCATACACCCATGTATTGCTTATGCTTCTCTCATTTTGTTCTTGTTTTTGTTTGTTTTCCCCCTCGCTTCCTAGTGGGTGGTATGTTTGTGTGTGTGTGTATCGGGACTGGGTACCGGCTGCGGGTACAACTCCACAGCAAGTGTCCAGCCCGTGTTCCTAGTGAGTGAGCTCTGAGTATCCCTTGCCGAGCCAAAGTCGACTTAGGCTGTGGGGGAAGGGAGGAGGTGTGTTGTGTGTGGGAGGGGGATAGATGTGAATGTAGGTGTGGGAGGAGGGGGGGGGAGGTGTGTGTGGGAGAGGGGGGGGGGGGGGAGGTGTGTGTGTGTGGGAGGGGGGGAGGTGTGAATGTAGGTGTGGGAGGGGGGGGGGGAGGTGTGTGTGTGTGGGAGAGGGGGGGGGGGGGGAGGGGGATAGATGTGAATATAGGTGTAGGAGGGGGGAGGTGTGTGTGTGTGGGAGGGGGGGGGGGATGTGTGTGTGTGGGAGGGGGATAGATGTGAATGTAGGTGTGGGAGGGGGGGGGGAGGTGTGTGTGTGTGTGGGAGGGGGGGGGGGGGGGAGATGTGTGTGTGTGTGGGGGGGGGGGGGGGGAGATGTGTGTGTGTGGGAGAGGGGGGGGGGGGGGGGGAGGAGATGTGTATGGCACACTAGTAGAGTCAGTAGCCCTGCAACTGAAGTGTGTATGGAGATAATCAGCATAACATTGTTGTAAGAAGGTACTCACTGTAGACTGGGATAGTGATGTACCAACGCGACCAGCTACATGTTACATCTACTTTACGTCTTTACCTGATCTCCATTTAACAAATATATCTATATGGGGAGGAGTGTGTTGCTCTCTACATGGCAGCTCGCGGTTTTCCTGCCGACTTGAATTCTCACTTGACTGACTCACGATTGCCATCCAGAGCACACGATCGAGAAGTCCATCGAACCGTCCACTCGGCAAACCTGCAAGAAAGCACCACTCCCTGCTCAATACACAGTGTTTCGGGGAATTCACTCCTGATCAGTTGAGCTTGAATAGGCTGAGGAAGATTGTGCCTGAAGAGCACCACTTATATAGTGCTGGCCAGGTGCAAACATCACCAGGGATACAAACTTACAGAGACGCTCCGTTTCCAGCGCGACAAACACCTCGTGAACACCAAATAGCAGCGTGAGTTAGTGTTGCTCATGGAGGTGCTGAACAACAGCTGAGGACCGTTGGCCATTCACAACCCTGTTGCCTCCAAACCATCTAATTCGCAAGCCCGCGCTGGGGACAACGATGTGCAGAAGAGGTTAGTGCGACTTCGGCGATAGTAGGGGAAGAGTGTGTTGCTCCCTACATGGGAGCTCGCGGTTTTCCTGCCGACTTGAATTCTCGAGTGCTCTGGATGGCAGTCGTGAGTCAGTCAAGTGAAAATTCAAGTCGGCATATATTTATCACGTGTTTCGACATACAGCCAGTCACGTTCTGAACTCAACTCACACTAAGATATCTTGCCAGCCATGCACATCTCATTACCTACATGTATATGTATATCATTGACATGGGTTTACAATCAACTCATGCTACCAACCACGACCCTCCATTCTTTATCCAATAATCATGTTGTTCTCAATTGAACAAACTCTTACTGGCTCCTAGCAGCTGAGCTCACGCTAGCGTATTCCCAGACAGACTTTGACCTTGACATTTGACTGCCCAACTCCAGTGGAGATGATATGCTACTGAGTTGGGCAGTACTTGAGGTGACACTTCAAATCGCCACTTCTCCTAAACGTTCTGCCACATGCACAGTGGAAGTCCTTCGATGCTGGGAGAGGAAAACGAGATGCTGGGAGAGGAAAACGATGTTGATGGTCCCGCATGCGCCATTCCGGGCGATCCTGTGCGAGGCGGTACCGCTCGGACTCCGGAATATCTAGTGAGCACAAATCACCGACAATCGTTGTTCGTCAACGCTTCTTTGGATCATGCCGTGGTCTGGTTGCCTCAAGCTCCCCAAACAACACTTGTTGAGGAATCCGTGCGGCGTCCATACGGGCAACATGACCCAGCCAACGCAGGCGGTTCTCACGCAGGAGAGTATCAATGTCTTAAACACACACACGCGCACGCGCGTGCACACACACATACTCATACTCACACTAATGTTCATCGCTGAAGCGATGATAGCGAACAAGCTATGTTAGACATAACAACTTGTGCTAGGGCCCCACCATTCAACAGCTTGCAAGGCTGATGAATTGACCGCCACTAACTTTCACCTGGCGACTTTTCTGGCCAGTGAATCCCTATTTTTCATTTTTCATTTCTTTTTACAAATACACATCCACACTAACTGCAGAACACAGTTATAGTTATGGAAACTTGGGATTAACAATTTTATTAAACAACATGGATACAGGTAGAGTTAATTGGAAGTCTGAGAAGACACGAGACAAGCTCTCTCTCTTTCTCTAATCAACATCTCTACAAAACCCTTCCTTAATTCAACATGCCCTGTCACGTGACTCCAAAGAACACTTTACATTGGATCAGTAGCACGATCATGTGACCTGACACACTCTTTCAGAGTCTGCAGCTCTGGAGGGCAGGCTCAGGGCTTGCATACGTGTACAAGTTGCAATACATTGAAGGCCCACCCCAGCTGACAGCCCTCCTCGCACCACCTTCAGCGCCTGCATCTACTCCAAGACCCGTCCAACAACTAGCTTCTGGCCACCAATTACAGTTGCAATGACCACTCGCTGGGACAGGACCATACTACCTACCGAGGTCATTCCTCTACACCCTCATTGCAGCATGGAAAAACATTCCTCTACATCCTCATTGCAGCATGGAACAACATTCCTCTACACCCTCATTGCAGCATGGAACAACATTCCTCTACACCCTCATTGCAGCATGGAACAACATTCCTCTACACCCTCATTGCAGCATGGAACAACATTCCTCTACACCCTCATTGCAGCATGGAACAACATTCCTCTGCACCCTCATTGCAGCATGGAACAACATTCCTCTACACCCTCATTGCAGCATGGAACAACATTCCTCTACACCCTCATTGAAGCATGGAACAACATTCCTCTACACCCTCATTGCAGCATGACACAACATTCCTCTACACCCTTATTGCAGCATGGAACAACATTCCTCTACACCCTCATTGCAGCATGGAACAACATTCCTCTACACCCTCATTGAAGCATGGAACAACATTCCTCTACACCCTCATTGCAGCATGGAACAACATTCCTCAGCAAGTCATCCCGAAGCTTTCTGCGACAAAGAGAATGCAGACCTTCAAGTCACGCATATGTCAGCAGCTTATGCGCCAGGATTGGTTGTGGGCGACGGAATTGCATGACTAATTTTGGCGGTGTTTCATTCAGTTCCGTCGCACAAAGGTCACCTAGTCTTCACCCCACTGAACTCGACTGCGTTCTTGCATGGGTTGTCTGCGTTGCTGTGATGTTAGGCGACGTGCTGGGGCTCATGAGGTATCCCACACTCTGGCAGTATCGGAAGGCCACCTTGTGCGCGATTCGTTGCCATTTCTCGCTTCCCTCCGTTACGTTTGTTGCCTATCGTGTTCTGGTTTGCATTCAATTTGATTTGTCCATTTTGACCATTTATGTTTGGGAACACATCCCCATGCTGTGTGATCAGTCGTGTTGAGTATACTAAACTCTACATTGCTCCCTGGAGCTCCCCAATCACCTCAGTACAGAATGTTTTTTTGTTTGCCTTTCTTTTCTTCTTCTTTTCTTTTTTTTCTTTTGTGGCCAATTTTTGGGCTAGTGAGTACTTGGTAGAAGTCAACTTTCGTATCATGCTGGACAAAAGACGATGCAGGTGTGGGCTAGGATTCTTGTGAACTGCAAGTCCTGAGAATGCTCTGCTCTGTAGTGTGGTCAATAAATGTGCTGGTCCTCATAGTTACCAATACAAATATACATGGCTGTTGTGCGATGGTTGCTTAGATACACTTGGAAACACAACACTTGGTCGTTTGTGACCCGGTTGGGACCCGGACTGAATTAGAGAGGCGTTTGCTCCAGTTGTCAGTGGAAATGTAATATAAACATGTACAAGTGTAAGACCGTTCATGTGCTGTGGAGTAGGCCTTCTGGTAATTACAATATCTTCCTGATGATGTCATTAAACTGTGGGTTTGTTTTTATTTTTTTCACTATTATTCACAAACGCAACAGTTGAACTCAAATAGTACAGTAGTATTCTCCAGCACTGTCCTTTGTGAGTTCAGACATGACTTTTATAAATAGCCCATTGCCTGGTATTGTCATGCGCAACAAACGTTTCTGGACGTGCCATATCCTGAAGAACCCTGCGATAAAATCACTACCGAAACATCTTCAATAGGTACAGGAAGTAGTCTCCAGCCCACGCTATCACGACCAGGTGAATTAAAGGCCACATAAGATCTCTCCATCTCACGCCCAATCGCTTTCTCTCCATATCTTTCTCTCTTCATCTCTCTTTCTCTCTCTCACACACTCTTCCTTTATCACTCTCCCACTCTCTTTCTCTCTCTTACGCTCTATCCCTGTCCATCTCTCTTTCTCAATTCTCTTGTGCACCCCTTCCTTCTCAGTTCGCGTTCAGCCCAGACGAAAGTTGGTTACGACTGATCTCCTGTCAGCGGCCTCAGACTGGAAACTTCTTGTCGACTCAGTTAGTGCAAAGATTTCTTTCCCTAGCTGTGTTGCACTTACCACCCTAAGACCAGATATAGTTCTGTACTCTACGAGTCGTAGGATTGTATTCTGGATGGAGTTGACAGTTTGTGCTGAGGACAGATTCAGTGTCAGTAACTCGCGGAAGGACAGGCGGTATGCGGATCTGGCCGATCAATGCCGAGCAAACGGGTGGCAGGTCGTTTCTTTTTCGGTTGAGGTAGGTGTGCGTGGTTTCATCCCGGACTCTCTTCGGAGGGCTCTGAAAGCGCTTGGATTTTCTAATCGAAGAATAAAATTTATTTGTAATTTGTGCAGTAAGACGTCTCTGCGAAGCAGCTACATCATCTGGTTGCGGCGTCAACAAAAACACTGGTCGGAAGATCCACTTTTCTGAGGTACTGTATGTGGGGCTCCGTTTATTGAGGTGCGTTGAAATTTATTCTCTTTATCTTATTATTTCTTTTCTATAATTTCCCCATATGAGTTCCTATCAGTTGCTGTGAACACCTTGAGTGGAGAGCGCTTGCTCGAGCGTTGAACCGGGTTCTTAATCCACCATACCCAGTTCGCAAGGCTGGGCGGGGTTGTGAGCAGGCTTTCATTTCATCTTTTCTTATTATTTCTTATTATTTCTGCTTTTCATCTCATTACAAAAATTCTGCGCTTTTTCTCCATCTGCGCATAAAATCTAGACTGACAACCTGCTTGTTAAATCATGCACCTGCTTTCAGGCGTAAAAACCCTGTTGTAGAGGTCTCAGTCCTCATTTGTTAGACTTACCTGTCTTTATAAATGTAACTTACTTACTCTCTCTCTCTCTCTCTCTCTCTCTCTCTCTCTCTCTCTCTCTCTCTCTCTCTCTCTCTCTCTCTCTCTCTCTCTCTCTCTCTCTCTCTCTCTCTCTCTCTCTCTCTCTCTCTCTCTCTCTCTCTCTCTCTCTTTCGCTCAGAATCTCTTCAAATGAGAAAAGCTAAACTAGAGAACAGGAGTAACAGAGACTGATCACGTGACTGATGATGATGATACATTGAACGTTTCGAAATCGCATTCTCTTCAGTTTAAAGTGGTGTTGAGTGAGCACAGGTACCAACATGAATCGAGAGAGTGGAAGAATCATGCTCAAATCGGTGTGGTATGATTATGTCATTGTCTGTCTGTCTATATACGCTGTATGCCTATCTGTCTCCATTGTTTTCTGCCGTGGGCACTCCTAGGAATACAGTTGAGTTGAGACACAGTCTGTCACGTGACCAGTAGCTGTCTTCCCTGCACAGCCATGTTGTAGGATATCTACCAATAGGAACTACATGTATAGTGGGATTTTGGCTCTCTCAGACCTGTGTCTCCTTATAGAAATAGTGGAGTTTTGTTGGAGTTCAAAGATACATGCGACTGTCTCCGCAACTGCATAATATTTTTACAACACAATGCTACTACGCATCACACCGTACTTTTGCCACCCCACCCCCACCCCTCGGCGGTACAAACATTGTTTCACCATCGCCAGCTGGTGTTCTACTCTCGCGAGCTCGACTGTTTGAAACACTAGGAGATAATTGAGTATAGCCAGTCACCGTGTTGTTAGGTGACTGCTGGAATCCACAACTAACGTAATACCGTACTGGCAATATGTTGCCGCAGTGAGGCCATGAAGCGTTACATTGGCACATGTTTGCCGCACGCAGGGCGTTACATGCAAAGTCGCACAGGAGCCGTTACACAGGTTTCTATATTGCCGCAGTCCTTTTTTTGCTATTGCCGCATCACTTTTTTGCTATTGCCGCATCATTTTTTTGCTATTGCCGCATCATTTTTTGCAAACTGCAATGAAAAGATCGCCGCACCCCGCCGGACGCGCGTTACGAACTCAACGAAAATTTGTCGCACTAGCCTGGTCGCGCGTTACGCCGCACCCCCTGCGTTACGCGTTACGCGGCAACATATATTGCCAGAACGGTACCACTTGTAGCTGTATGTAGCGGACATTGCAGACCATGTCACATAGAAGGTCACCTCCACACAACAAGAGAGACGGACTCAAACACACAAACCATGTGAACTGGAAAAATGACTTCAACTTTTTTGACTTTGCCTTCAGACTCAGAGCACATCATCTGATTGAGTCGTGTCGTGTCATGATGTATCACGTAATGTGAGCGAATTGTGAGAGACTGAGCTGAGTTCGAGTGGGCGAAGTGTGAACCACAGAGCTGAGTTGGAGTGAGCGAAGTGTGATCTAAAAACCTGTGTTCTAGTGAGCTGGTACTGGGTTTGTGTACAAGTGCAAGGTACGGTGTTGGTAAGGGTGTGTGAAAATCAGTGTCAACCAGTACAAGGAGAGCTGAAGGCTTTCACGACAGACCCTGGTGTAATCACTCAACACTACATTGTAGTGATACAGATCAACCTGCGTTAGGAAACTGTCAACACTCTCACGCACGTACACACACACACACACACACACACACACACACACACACACACACACACACATACACACACATACACACAAACATAAACACACACACACACTTCCCCACCACACACACACACACACACACACACACACACACACACACACACACACACACACACACACACACACTGTACTGTACTGTACTTGTTGCTCACTGCCAAAACTGGTCACGTGAGTCCCCCCGGGAGAGGGGAGAGAGACTCAAAAGGAATCTTGGAAAGATGACTCAATTGGTTATTGAACCGCCCAACGGCCGACACCCCCTGAAATCCCCAAAACTCTGGGTGGACTTGAAAATGATCCCACTTATGGGCTCACCACACCTCAGTAAGTGGGTGAGGACAAGGTGCAGAAAAAGGATTGACGGCATCAGGTATCCGTCCCGGGATCCAACTGCAGTCACCCCTGCCCCCAGTGAAGGTAATATTTGCTACTAGTGTGAGTGGCTAAATCGGAGTGGATCTGATAAAAGCTTCACTAAGTTAGCACCATTGATTAGACAAGAGTTAATCTAGCCAGAAGCAGTCCATGGTTTAAAACAGGTATGTATACTTCAAATAGAAAGTATATGAACCCTGGAACCAACAAAGGTGGTAGGTACAACAATACACCTTCAAGCAGCCGAGCTCGTTGGCAACAGACCCAACACAATCAGGCATAAGTGTACCTACGAACCGAACTAGCTGGCACACACACACACACACACACACACACACACACACACACACACACACACACACACATCCCCGCCACACACACACATCCCCACCACACACACACAGACACAGACACACACACACACACACACACACACACACACACACACACACACACACACACACACACACACACACACATACACACACACACACACTCACACTAGGCCTTGGCGGATAATGCTCGAAAAGGTGGCAGATTCTGCTTTTTTTGCACCGAAATTGGCAGAACCATACAAACCTTATGGCGGGCAATTCCTCGAATTCTGCTCCATTTCTTTATCCACATACCAAACATGCATGAAACTTACCAGAAAAAGTACCGAATTCTGCCAATTTTTCTGCCGGCATTATCCGCCAAGGCCTAACTCACACACACACACACACACACACACACACACACAAACACACACACACACAAACACACAAACACATACATACACACACACGCACACGCACACACACACACACACACAAACACACACATACACACACCCACACACGCACACACACACACACACACCTTTGACCTTTGACGCCCATCGCCGGAGGCGATGATAGCAATGCTACGGCAGAAGCCATAGCAACTTGTGCCGGGATTGCACCATTCAACAGCTTGCAAGGCTGAAGAATTGACCGTCACAATTCAGCCTGGTCTACACCATACAGCTATTTGAAGTGGTTTTTCTGGCCAGTGAATCCCTATTTTTGGTGTTTTCATTTTCATTTCTTTTTTCTTTTTGCCCGCACACACATCACACCACATACTCCGGCATGCACTGGCTGTTGGTAACCACCCAGGAGAATGAAAGAAAAGTCAGGAAGAGTCTGAGAAAGAGAAGAAAGACGTGTGTGACCATAATCGTCGGGAATCGAACCCGCAACCTATCGATTGGAAACCGCTGCACATACCACTGCACCATATGGGACACACACACACACACACACACACACACACACACACACACACACACACACACACACACACACAGACACCACAGCCACACACACACACACACACACCACAAACACACACACACACACACACACCACAAACACACACACACACACAAACATACACACACACACACACCACAAACACACACGCACACACACACTACAAAACACACACACCACAAACACACACACAACACATACACACACACACCCCACAAACACACACACACCACCAACACACACACACACACACACACACACACACACACACACACACACACACACAAACATACACACAAACTTTTACTCGTACTTGCCCACTGCAAAAACTAGTCACGTGGGTCTCCCAGGGAGAAGGGGGGGGGGGGGAGAGACTCAAAAGGAATCTTGGAGAGATGACTCGGTATTGTACCGCCCAACGTCCGACACCCCCTGAAATACCCAAACTATGGGTGGACTTTGAAATGATCTCACTTATGGGCTCATCACACCTCAGTAAGTGGGTGAGGAGAAGGTGCAGAAAAATTAAGGATTGACGGCATCTGTGTATCCGTCCCGGGATCCAGTTGCCCCTGCCCCCCCCCCCCCCCAGTGAAAGTAATACTTGGTACTAGTGTGGGTGGCTAAATCAGAGTGGATCTGATATAAGCTTCACTAGCACCATTGATTAAAAAAGAGTTAATCTAGCCACCGTTTAGGCGCTGCATCTGCACCTTGATCCTAGAGGGTGGTGGCGTTCCCACGGCGGACGCGGAAAACTCGGCTTCAAGTCGAGTCTAACGTGAACGTGAAATTTAAATTTATTTTATTTATCTAGCCAGAGGTTTTCCATGGTTAACAGGTATGTATACTTCAAATAGAAAGTATATGAACCATGAAACCAACAAAGGTGGCAGGTACAACATTACACCTTCAAGCAGCCAAGCCTGTTGGCAACAGACCCAACACCATCTGGCAGAAGCGTACCCACAAAGCGAACTAGCTGCCACACACATGCACGCACTCCCCCCCCCCCCTCCCCCCAATACACACACACACACGAACACACACCTGTCCTGTCCAGTAGAGCTACTGCCACAGGGGTCACGTGGGCCCCAGAGGGGCATCAGAGAGGAAGATGGAGCACGCAGCCTGATGACGCCGGAGATGGTGGCGCAAACGGAACCGGCGAGAACACACGCATACATGAGGGAACGAATTACACTGCTGGGTAGTCGGGCGGGGACCAGTCCTCGAGCACCGGTGA